GTCCCTCCGTCCACCACAGCAGGCAAAGCAGGTTAAGTGTCTTGCCCAAGGACACAACAGCATCAATCTCTGATTAAAGTCAGGATCAAACCTGCAACCTTCCGATTACTGGACAACCTGCTCCACCTCCTGATCTATTGCTGTCCTATTTTACCTGATGAGGTGTACAATGTAGCTGTTGCAGGGTTGCTCCTCTTGCTGCTGCTGATGATGCTGGAGGGCAAGGCTGTGTTGATCTCAGACTGTAGGTAGTAAAACGAACAGAGGAGAAATGTTAGTCAATTACAAAATTAATGTAAGATAATAAAAAATGGCAAAAATTGGTGAAAACTCTTAGAACTGTAAGACAGAAATATCTGAGAGAACACCTGTGGTAAATAAATGGAAATCTAAACATTAGTGGATAATAGAGGAGTTTATGTCAGAGATAAGAATGTGACAGAAATATAAACAGAAAGAGTTGTGTGTGTCTTCAATCTCCTCATGTGATCTATCACTCTCCACTTGCTGTCCATCTGAGAACAAGGCAAAATTAGCTATTGTATGAATGAATTATGTAGTTATTCGCATTTAACAGGTCTTGCACCTGATCCATGATCAAGAGGCTAACAAAAAACATTTTCTGGCATCAAAACATTGCAGTTGTGTATATTATTGTTTCTACACTTGTTGCTGTGATGCAACTTACCTGTAATCTTTTTTTTCATCCAGCTGGTGAGGGACCCACTGCCTTTGCAGTAGGAACTAGGAAATATGAAATACTAGAACCAGACCAAACTTAATATATTCTTTTTATTTGATTAAACTGATTTTTTTCTTAAAAGTTCTTGGCATTTTCCCCACACAAAGTTAAACAAAACAATGTTGATTAAGGTGTGTGTGTGTGAGAGTGTGTGAGAGGGAGATAGAGAGAATAAAAAAAAAATTAAAACCGGAGTGGAGGCAGTGACCGATGCAGCACGTCAGCTCTGTCTTGTCAAATGCACCACGTACGTTGTGAAAAAAGTAACTTTAAATTTTCAACCGAAAAAGAGGTGAGCTGAAGAAAACCTAGGGAGTACTGAAGAAACGTGAGCATCAGTGAAGCAAGCACAGAGAGATCCGTTACTGTTTGTGTGTGTGCGTGGATGGGCCGGGCTGAGCTCCCGGCTGCAGAGTTCTGTGTGTGGGGAGGGGCGGGCACTCTATGTGACTGGCCAATCACAGAGCATGAAGACAGTCAGTTACCCAATGAGGATTTTCCTTCAGCACGATTGCAGATATTTACGAGTTTTACTCGTTTCATGCTCGTAATCGTCAAAAATGCTTTATCCGGCTCATCCCTAATAAATACTATCAGGTTGGGAATTTCCTGTGGTTCTTCTAATAGCTACCGTATGAAATAATTTCGCCCCTATTATATGCTTTCATGGTTTCCCAGAGAAGGGAGGCTGAGAGCCCTGGAGTTCTATTGGTAGTACGAAAAAACTATTTGGTTAGAAACAAACTTAACAAATCTTCATTAGATTGAAAACGCGTATTAAGATGCCAAGGAAGGCAAGTACGTTCATGCTCATTTATACATAACTCCAGTGTGGTCGGAGCATGATTTGATATTAGAATAGCATCGTAGGAGCAAGACCTAACAGCATGGAGAAAACGTTTGTCCAGGAGAAAATAATCAATCTGGTAATAGGAGAGACGAACATAAGAAAAAAAGAATACATTTTACCAGTTGGATTAAGAAAACGCCATAAATCAATGACTGAGAACTCATCCATGAAGGACAAGATAGATTTAGAAGACTTTGAAAACACACCTGGTCTAGTGGAAGAGCGGTCTAACACCAAGTTAAGCCAACAGTTGAAGTCACCTCCCATAATCAGTCGATGTGTGGACATGTCAGGCAATTTGGTAAACAACTGACAAAAAAGTTAAGGGCTATAAGGCTGGGATCAACTGACGACACCCGGTCGAACTAGCTACAAGCTAACCCAAAGCTAATGCGGACGTGAGAGCTAAGCTAACGTAGGTAGCAACCTAGCTACAACCGGAGTTAACTGTGCAAAGCACCAGAGCTTCTGAGTCAGAGATATGCCGGGCTGACCGCTGGGTAAAACCGGGTGGAACACAGAGGTCTACGAGACCTCCACAAGCTGGCAGCCGCACAGCAGACAAGCGCCGCTGCGATCTGAGATGCGCAGAGCTGCCGCTGGGGAGAACTGGGTGGAAAGGTTTCCATCCCAGAGCTCCACAAGCCGTCAGCCCGCGCAGCAGACAGGAGCCGCGATCAGACAGAGATGCACCAAGCTGCGGGGAGGGGAGAACCAGGTGGAAAACATCGGTCTCCGAGAGCTCTACAAGCCGATAGTCGGAACCCAGCTCCACCAACAAGTTATATTTCAACCCATTTTCTAAAGTTCAGCATTATGTTAAATGCACTGGGTTTTACCCTATTATATTTAAATTTCATGGTTAAACAGTACATGTTAAAATCTAAGCTCAGCTCAGCAGTGACCTAAAATACATAAATATAATTTTACTTACCAAAAAAAATGAAGGGGAGACTCCTTCGATGCTCTATTAGTGCAATTAATGCCACAGCAAATCATTTTGTCCAACAATTGCACTAAAAATATCCAAAACACAAACACAGAGACTCAAAATCCCAGAGCAGTTTCCAAGCCAGACCGAGGCTCTACTGAGGCCTTTCCACTGAGCTAGCTCTGTGGTCACGTGGGTTGGATGCTCATTAATTATACAGAATTTTAGGCTTTTAATACACTTAAACAGAAGAGTGAGAAAAAAATTCACCCCCCTCAGAGTTGTCATGAGTGTAAACTAGATAATTTAAACAAAAAGCTTGTTTTGGTACCAGGCTGTAAACATGTTTATTTCTGCTGTGAAAATGGTATTTTTAGCATGGGAGTCAATGAGGATTTGCTCGTTTCTGACACCAGCCCCCAGCGGATGAGGGTGAAACTGCAATTTTTTGTACTTCTGGGTTGGGCCCAATTTCAGAACCGCATTGTGGGGGCTTGGTTGAAAGCAAAGAAGAAAATAAAACCTGTATTCCAATTCATTGCATTTTTTTTTTTTGTGTGTGGTAGAAGTATCGGTATCTGTACTCGGTATCAGCGAGTACTCATATCCAAGTATCAGTATCATATCGGTGTGGGAAAAAGTGGTATTGTTGTATCCCAACTTATCATTATTAAAAGTTGAAGTTACGCTTATCTGGTTGCCTCCTTGATCTACCCATGTTTGGGTCCTCCTTTCCAAAACATCCTGAAATTATTTAGTGAGTATTACTGTGACAGAATTTTGAAAGCAAACACAAAAATGAAAGTAAGCATTCAGGTGTTCCTCAGGGTTGACTAATAGTTTTGCTCATATGGTTGCTTGACCAAATGTTACCATTGCTATAACAACCCCAAGCTGCTGCCTGCCGCCACCCCTGCTCTTGCTCTTCCAATAATTAGTCCTTTTCTTTCTTTATCCATGGTATAAACTATCTTACATATTTAGTTTAATTTTAGTTATGTTAGAAAAGTTTTTTTTTGTTTTTCTCCATGGTAATCAGAAATGTGGAAACAGATTTAATACCATTTTTGGTTTATTAGCTCATCTTACTAAATCTAGCATCCGGTGTTAGCTAGCTGATAACATAGATCTTTTTATATTCAGAAAATGTAGCATTTCTAACACAAGATTGATTTGATGCATTGGTGTGTTGCTGTTCTATGAGCAAAATAACCTAACATGAACATAACCAAAAATATTTTATCTAGCATCTTGATGCACATTAATGGCCTTTATTTAGGGGTAAAATCAACTGCTCGGAGTGAATGTAATCAATGAGAGCATTGGAAAGTTCCTTCTCACCCACTGCTCTTTTAAATAATTCATCAGTGAGCGTATTCTCTAGGCGTTCATTGTGAAGGGGAGCTTTTTGCCTGCAGCAGCAGGTGGTTTATTGTGAGAGGTGGCAACGTGCCAAATTCAAGCGGTCTCTAAACTATTTTGCACTTTAGAAAAATAATCGGATCATTCACAAAACTTTTATATTTGCAGTTATTTTTGGCATATCTCCTGACACTCTGCCAAATATGCTTTCATCGTGCAACTTGAGCCATCAGTTTATTACCTAAACGCACACAGATTTGTACAACATCAAAGCTGTGAAACACAATGAACCCTGTCCCCTAAAATCACTCCTCAAGTGCTCAAAATCTGCCAGATTGAGTCTGAAGCATTCAAGGGTAAAATAAGTGACACTGACCTCGATTTTCAGACAGTTTGATGGGGAGAAAATCATGTTAATGGTGTCAAATGCCACATAGTAAGAGCAGGTGTATGTTAAATCGTCAACACATGGAAATGAGTCAAAGCAGAGCCTGCAGACATCAAAGATGGGCAGCTTTTGAAACAGCAGACATTTTGATATTTTGGAGCATGAAAATCTCAGGTGGAACTAATAATGTTAACAGCTGCACAGTTCCAATTATGTGTCCCCAGCAGGAATCCTGCATGCAAAATACCAGCACTGAGTTGCTTTGAATTTACATGAATGAACTGCAGATTTATTTTTTTATTAACTATACTTTTTGCCTGTTTAATTAACGCCTAAATTGGAAATTAACCAGAGAATTTGGTTGTGCTTGGGTCATTGGTGATTTAGAAAGAAATGTACATTTTTAAAGGATTTACGCTATCGCCAATGCTAATTGTTTTTACTTGGTTTTGAATTGTTAAAGTTTCTTTTGGCTGCAATCTTTAAAACAATAGTATATAATTATGAAACAGTCATGAAGAACTTTGTGCTGTTCCCTTTGAATGGTCATCTTAAATGATAATGTATTTTTAGGTAATAAATAAATAAATAAACTAACAAAAAAAATGTTTGAGATCAGCAAGAAACCAGACAAGAGAAATCCAGAGGGAGTTACAATTAATTTCTCATGTCGGTATGAGATGAGAGTAATCTCATTTGTTTAATGGCTGCTGAATCTCTGTTTCAGATTACGATGTCTGGTGAAGCAGCTGGAGAGAGGAGAGGCTTCGCTCGGTGATCTCAAGAAAAACCTGGAGTATGCAGCATCTGTGCTTGAATCCGTTTACATCGAGGAAACGAGGTAGGGAACGCAAAAGCCTTCCACAGTGGATCAAGTTTTGACGTGCTTTTAGGAAACAAAATAGGAGAGCGACACTCGATGGCCAGAGTACAAAATTGATGACTGTAATTACCATGGAAATGGACTTGAACCATTCTCCTTTCCTCCTGCTTCTCAGAATCTCCTTATTAGGATTTACTGGATGTTCACCTTAAATTACATCTTAAAACTTGACCTGAATAACTCATTTTCTTTGTCCAGATGAAAATATGCTTTACTTTTTCAAGCAGAACTTTGTTTAAAGAGCAAGTCACTCCCTACCAGATTCTTACTCCACTCCCACTTCCTGTTTGAAAAATGCAACAAATGCTGTTGCCTGGCAGACCGAGAGGGCGGAGCCGCTAACAAACACACACACACACACACACACACACACACACACACACACACACACACACAGGCTCACAATGACATTGTGACATCCTATGGTACCAGCTAACATTCTAGGGTACCCCTTAGCCAATAGTGATGGCAGATTTAAATTCAAATGCAGTCTAGAGTTTTTACCTGACAACGGCACAACATTGACAGTTTTAGGCAGATAATTTAAATTTTAACTAAAATGCACTAAAGTGCAAAACTATTGACTTCACGTGTCTGCAGCACGATTAGACATGCATTTATATAGTTTATCAGAAAAAAAGCTGATTTGGGGTGACTTGCTCTTTAAAAGTCCTGTATCATGCAAAATCCACCTTTTTGGCACAGTTGACCATGCTTTATTATTATTATTATTATTATTATTATTATGAAAAACACCCTCACAGTTGTTTGTGGCTTCATGCATGCATTTTCCTGTCTCAGCATCGTCTATCCTTCAGCTCTGCAAATCTTTGCTAAACTATTGCAAACAGCTAGATGATGTTTTGCTGCGTTATTGTAGGATCTCTCCTCCTCTGGACTGTAAACACCACCCACTCTCTCCGTGTAACTAGCTATCTAACTCTGCAACCATTGAGTAGATATGACTACAGGAATCTGCGGTCTCTGGGTCTGCAGCTGTTGTGGAATTCACACAGGGCGAGGTGGGGTTTGATCAAATCCAAGTGTCGCATTTCCAAGTTACAGGAATGTCTTGAATTTCATAAAAAATGGTATCTCAGTAGTGCCAATAGTAATATTTCATTATATAGTGTGCCTACCTTTGCTCTAGAAGGTATTAAATAGCTAGATACAGAACTTTTATACGGCGACAGAGGAGTTGACTGCCTGTCCCGTAACCCATGGATTGCAGGTTCGAGCCTCGTCTGTTGTAGTCGTTGTGTCCTTGGGCAGGACACTTAACCTGCCTTGCCTGCTGGTGGTCAGAGGGACTGATGGCACCAGTGTTTGGCAGCCCCGTTTTTGTCAGTGTGCCATAGTGCAGGTTCGGGGCTACATTGTAGCTCATCCCCACCAGCATGTAAATGTGTGTGTGCGTGGTTGAATGACTGGTTGTTTTGTAAAGTGCCTTGGGGGTTGTAGAACCCTAAAAGATGCAATATCAAAATACATGCTCCCATTTTTACCATTCTTAATACTGAACACTGTCAAGCTTTCCTGACATGATTATATTATAATGTCTAAATTAACGTTTGTTACACACTTTGAAAGCTGTTTTGTGAACTGGCTGAACTTCTAGTAGAGTCAAAACTTAAAAGGTGACTTGGAAACACTTGGCAAAGCCCATCTGTCCATATTCCACTACTTAGCCAAAACTTGATCACATCCTGTCACTTTCTGGTTTCTCCTGGGGGCTTCAGGTGTTCCACGGTTAGAACGGATGTTTAATCCCTCCAGAGAGTTTGGATCCATTTTAAAGAGAACATCCTGGCAAATTACTCCCAAGAATTGTTACATTTATTAAACATGCTGGTTGATGTGTCAATGTGAAAACAATGATCCAAAGTCCGACCTACGACCTGACGTGTGGAATTATGTAAATCTCTCATCATCTAGATTCAAACAGATTAGGGTCACCAAAAGCCTGATTCCACTCCCGGACAGGGGATAAAATGCAGAAAACATCCGTCAATGTTCTGTCGGCTTTCTCTTTGCCATGAGAACATGTTTTCAGTTGGAGGGCTTTTCTTTTGATCTCTTCACATGTCGGCATATCCGTGGAGAATTATGTCACTCAATAGGATTTGTGTTCAACATGCTGAGGTTTCTGAGATGCTTTGGCTTTACGTAAGAGGTGATGTATTGTACACATCTAGGATTAGTGGGGTTTTTTTTGTTGTTTTTTTTTTTTTTTTTTCACCGTGACCATTTGGTCATTTTGCCCATTTTCTACTTCATGGTTTATTTTTGTGCTGCACTTGCGTCCTTTTCCGCAGGCGACTGGTGGACACAGAAGATGAGCTCAGTGACATCCAGTCAGAGTCGGTGCCTTCAGAGGTGCGTGACTGGCTGGCCTCCACCTTCACCAGACAGATGGGCTTGATGCTGCGACGGAATGAAGAAAAACCTCGATTCCGCAGCATCGTCCACGCCGTTCAAGCCGGCATATTTGTGGAAAGGTAAATCATGCACATTTACAATCACGCAATCACAGGTGATACATCATTTATGTGGACCGTTACCATCTCCTCTCCAGTCTGAAGTTACCAATCTATCACTTGTGAAACAAACCGGCATTGCCTGGAGCGACTTAACGAAATTCTATCAACATCTTTAATTTGGTCCTGCATAACAAATGCGTTTGTGTGTTTTGACTATGAGTGTCCTTCACATGAAAAGTGGTAAAAATGAACCAAATGACTGTGTTTAGGAAAGGCATGAAAATAATTTACACCATTTATGCCATCTGCTTTAAGCTGAATGGTGAAATAGCACATTTTTCCTTCTGATAAAGTTCAAGATTTGAGGTTTTTTTTTTTTTTAGAATTTCAGCCTGTTTTGGAAACACGTGCAGCGTATCTGCACAACGCAGCCTGACCTGAGTCGACGACAAATCGTCCCAGCCTTGGCAAGCCTGCTAATCACTGTCATTCAGAGAGTTACAAACAGCCAGCCTTTTCTCCAAGGCTGTGCTTTATCACACAGTATCATTCAGCATGCATTTGTTTTTATCAGTAAGCTTCAACAGTGTAAACTATAATCTTTCCTAATCTGTATTTACAGAGGGTACTTTGGTAAAAATGAAGCAAGATTGGAAGAAGGATTAAAGAAACCAGGTGGAACAATGTGATGCAGCATAAACAGTTTGAATAAATAAATAAAAATATCCACCTGTTTTGAAAATAATTTATTTGAACATCTTTAATATAAACCTACTTTATAATCATATTTACCTGTATTCCTAGAAATTTTGGGTGTCATGTTTATCCCACACCTTGTTTTGCAGCTTGTGGTCAAGTAAAGTAAAACCCAGAGTGATAAAACCTAAAATCCTTATGCAACTAGTAAAAAAAGGAAAATAACTGGGATTTATTTTGTCACAACTTAACCTTTCTGACACATTTCACACTGAGTTGTGTTGATTTGAAGGTTTAGTCTTGGTGGGGAACCTTCCAGGCTGTGGTTTGGGGCCAGTGTGGTAACCTTTAGTGTTTACTCACAGCGGTGCTCTTCATTTGATGTTTTTTATCTCATTCAAACAGGATGTACCGTCGTACCTCCAATATGGTGGGGCTCAGTTACCCCGCATCTGTCATATCTGTTCTGAAGGTACACACATTAATTACTCAGTGATTAGCACCATTTAAAAAAATCTTTTATGTACTTATATTTGTTGATGAATAAATAAGTTGCTTGACAGGAAAAACTTCTATTTTCTCCATGCAGAATGTTGACAAATGGTCGTTCGATGTGTTCGCTCTGAACGAGGCCAGCGGGGATCATGCGCTTAAATTCATTTTCTACGAGTTGCTCACAAGATATGATCTCATTAGTCGTTTCAAGGTAAAGTCACAAAGATTAAACAAGCTGCTTCTTGCATCCCTGGCACACTTTTCCTCTGTCATTAAAACAGAAAGGAAGTAACACTTTTCACTGTTGACAAGAACCTTCATCCTGTCTGATTTGATGCAGGTGTGCTCTCCTCAGCCCCTAAAGACTGGGATGATGTTATATTTCAACAATGATAATTTTATGGAGGGATCTGGACTCACTTCATCTCCTCTGATAGTTGTGCAGCTCATTTCCCACAGCTTCTAATAGCTAGGGACAACCCGCCCATAGTGACAGCATCTGGGTGGAAATAACACAGGCGGTGAAGCTGATATGGAAATGTAATCATAGTCTGCGCTAGCCCAAATGATTTTCTGAAATCAGTTTCAGATGCTGCACACATCTGAATCACATCGTTGAAGTTTGTTTGTATTCTAAAACATGGCGTCTGTTGACAGATCCCCATCTCTGCTGTGGTTTCATTTGTGGAAGCCCTAGAAGTTGGATACAGCAAACATAAAAACCCATACCACAACCTGATCCACGCCGCTGACGTCACACAGACCGTTCACTACCTGCTCCTCAAGACTGGCATGGTGGTGAGTAGGATTCAAACTCCTAACTTAGAGGTTGCATAATTTCTGCCTAAGCTCCACTTATTTTCATTTAAACAATTTGAACACTCTGGTTGAGGTCCAACAGAGACAGCTTGCTGGACTGAAACTTAGTTTGTAAATTCAAAGGGATTTTTATCCCCATGGTATCCAGAACACATCTGTCAGCTGATGGATGCTAATTGCAGCTTGGCTTAACACAAAGTTAATAACAATTTCCATTTTTTTTACCTAAAAATTTCAGGAGCTACAAAATCTCAGTTCTCCTTAAATGTATTGTTGATGGGGGAGAACCAAACAACAAAATATTTATGTGACTTTAACATTATTTTAATGATGGATGGATGGATGGATGGATGGATGGATGGATGGATGGGCAAGTGGGTGGAAGGATGCATGGATGAATGAATGGACCCATAGGTGGATGGATGGATGCATGAGCGGAGGGATGGATGCATGGGCGGATGGATAGGTGAGTGGGTGGAAAGATTCATAGATGGACCGATGGATAGATGAGCGAATGGATGGAATATGGATGGATGGATGGATGGATGGATGGATGGATGGGCAAGTGGGTGGATGGATGGATGGATGAGAGAGTGAGTGAATGTATGGACGGATGGATGGATGGATGGATGGATGGATGGATGGATGGATGGATGAGAGAGTGAGTGAATGTATGGATGGATGGATGGATGGATGGATGGATGCATGAATGGATGAATGGATGGATGGGGGAGAGAGTGGATGGATTGATAGGAGAGTGAGTGGAAGGATGCATAGATGGATCGATGGGCGAATGGATGGATGGGTGAGTGAGTGAGTGAGTGAGTGAGTGAGTGAGTGAGTGAGTGAGTGAGTGAGTGAGTGAGTGAGTGAGTGAGTGAGTGAGTGAGTGGATACATGGATGGATGGACCCATGTATGATACATAGCCGAATGGATGATGGATGCATGGGTGGATCAATGGGTGGATGGATAGATGGATGGTGGATGCATGGGCGATTGGGTGGAAGGATGCATGGATGGACCCATGGATAGATGGATGGATAGATGGGTGAATAGATGGATGCATGGGTGGATGGATGGATGGTTCATTACATAACATTACCAACAGAAAATTAATTTTAAAGAAAATTATTTGCTAGAGTTCAAATAATAATGATGTTGTGTATTTTATTAAGTAGGTAAATAATACAACAAACATTTTAATGAATAAAATTGGCACTTGCTGCCCACAGAGGGCAGAAATGATGCATGTCATCCAGCAGGATTTTAGAGTTTTAGGTTAGGGTTACTAGAGACAAATAGGATTTATGTGACATGAAGCATTTTCTTATTTTATTTAAAGCATAATTAATTGATTTTTCAAGATATTTAAAGTCATTTTATTTTACTGTCATATTTTCATTGTATACACTCATCAAAAATATAAACGTAACACCTTTGTTTCTGCTCTGATTTTTCATGAGATGGACTTAAAGATCTAAAATTCATTCCAGATACACAATATTACCATTTCTCTCAAACATTGTTCACAAATCAGTCTAAATGTGTGATATTGAGCCAGTGGCGGTTCTACATCGAATTACTCCCCGGGTGAGGCCCCCTTTGAGCGCCCCCCCTTAACCGCCCCCCCCCCCCCCCACCACCACCACCACCACCACCACCACACCACCCCACCTGCACGAACACACGCATGTTTTCTACAAACAGGCATGTTTTATTAGAACGACTATTGAACATTAATTTTTCTAAGTTGCATATTTACATTAATTACTATGAAGTTGTCAGAATGTAAAGCACTATACATTATATACTGTATCAAAATATATAGAATCAAATATACAAAAACAAACAATAACTAAATATTAAGAATATATGAACATAATATATAATAAATATTCTAAATAGCAAAAATATTTCACACATAACAAACTAAAGATAATCACTACAGCATTGCACTTAGAATAGAAAACACAAACTAAAATTAAAACCTAACCTTGATGCAACGTCATCAATAATGTCAATACATGAAATCTGCTCCCCTACTGAGTGATTGATACTAATCAGAGCCAGGTTAGTGAGCCGCCCCTGAAACATAGCTGACCTCAGGCATGACTTGATCAAGTTTTGAAAAGCTCCTCTCAGCTTGAGCCACAGTGACTGGCAGAGCAGTCCAAAAGTTGGGGTAGATCTCCAATAGATCTCATGATCCATAATATTTTAGAATTGCCTTTGAAATTGTAATTTAAACTGACATAAAAAAATGTAGACTACCAAAAATGCAAACTTTTACAGAACAAATCATGTAAAAATAATCAGTGCAGCCATCTGCAATAAATAAACAGGATAGTTAGTGGTGACTGGGGTGTTTTCTTCTGCTTGTAGAGTTGTTTTATTTATTATTATGTGAACATGATCAACATGTGTTTGTTGTTGTTCAGGCAGGCCACAGGCTGCAGCAAGCATTTAACAAATCCTAGTTTGAATCAGTAAAAAACGATTCAAGGACTTTTTTCGAACCATTTGAATATTCGTTTCAATATTTCAGCCCTATTAGCTCTGTTAGCAATTAGTTGACCGAATTTAACCGTTAAAATCCCAGTTAACTGGTTCAAAAAATTGAAAACATGCATCATGAGAGCTACATACCTTTAACTTTCTCCTCTTTTTTCTTTTTTTTCCCCCTGAATGGGGCACCTGGTGGTTTTAGCCTTTTTATGTTCATCTCTTCTGTTTGGCTCCTGACTCAGTAAGTTTCTTTTAGTCAGGACTAAACAATTTGACCTTGATGGGGGTGACCACAAAATCGTTTTGTTTTTCCTTTTTTTATTCGGCCATTTCACACAATTCAGAGAAACCTGAAAGAATGATAGGCCTGTGTTTATGATATTATGAATGAAATATGGAAGAACGTTAAGATGTGATTGACTTTAGCCATGTTAATACAGTTGATTCAGCCCCTGCACGCTCATTTCATTTGGGAAAGACGCAGAGGTGAATTCCCCCGCCGCACCCCTCCCCTTCCTGTTCTTCATAGACACACGGAGCACGTGAACGTTCTCAGTCAGCAGGAGCGCCTGCAGCTGCAGGGGGCGCCAACTTGCTGTTTCCAATCCAGACACTGTCATATGATAGATAATAGAAAACCTCGGTGCGGTGCAGATTTCCTTTTTTTTTTTTTTTTTTACTCCGCGCTTGTGCGCCCCTTTTGTGTCATGAAAAAATGCCGCCCCGGGCAATTGCCCTGTCTGCCCGTGCCTAAAACCGCTACTGTATTGAGCACTTCTGCTTTGCTGAGATAATCCATCCCACCTCACAGGTGTGCCACATCAAGATGCTGATACGACATCATGAGTAGTGCGCAGGTGTACCTTATACTGCCCACAATAAAAGGCCACCCTGAAATGTGCAGTTTTGTCTCACAGCAAAATGCCACAGATGACACAAGCATTGAGGGAGTGTGCAGTTGGCATGCTGACAGCAGGAATGCCAACCAAATCTGTTACTCGTGCATGGAATGTTCATTTCTCCACCATAAGCCATCTCCAAAGGTGTTTCAGAGAATATGGCAGTACATCCAAACGGCCTCACAACCGCAGATGACGTGTAACCACACCAGCCCAGGACTTCCACATCCAGCAGGTTCACCTCCAAGATCGCCTGAGACCAGCCACGCAGACAGCTGCTGAAACAATTGGTTTGCATAACCAAACAATTTCTGCACAAACTGTCAGAAACCATCTCAGGGAAGCTCACCGGACATGTCACCCGTTGAGCATGTTTGGGATGTGCTTGACCGGCGTATACGACAGCGTGTACCAGTTTCCACTAATATCCAACAACTTCATACAGCCATTGAAGAGGAGTGGTCCAACATTCCACAGGCTACAGTTGACAATCTGATAAACTCTATGCGAAGAAGATGTGTTGCACTGCATGAGGCAAATGGTGGTCACACCAGATACTAACCAGTTCTGAGTCCCCAGACCCCCAATAAAGCAAAAAAAAAAACTGTACATTCCAGGGTGGCCTTTTATTGTGGGCAGTATAAGATACACCTGCGCACTACTCATGATGTCAGATCAGCATCTTGATGTGGCAAACCTGTGAGGTGGGATGGATTATCTCAGCAAAGCACAAGTGCTCACTATCACACATTTAGACTGATTTGTGAACAACGTTTGAGAGAAATTGTAATATTGTGTGTCTGGAATGAATTTTAGATCTTTAAGTCCATCTCATGAAAAATCGGAGCAGAAACAAAGGTGTTGCGTTTATATTTTTGTTGAGTGTATTTCCTGCTGCTGCAGTTATTTTTGCACACACAGACCTACATCTCTCCTCCTCACAGAAGTGACTTTAGGGCATTTGTGACACAACATTTATTCCAAAAACAGAAAAACTATCCAGAGTTCAAAGTCTCCAAATAGCCATCCAGAAGGCCGCCCCCACCCCTATTGCCTCTGTTTTTATTTAATCACCATAATAAGGTGGCTGCGACAGCTGTCGACATGCTGTGTTTCCTGGGGCTGTGCCTTGCCGAGTCTACCACACTAATGCTTCAACCAGCAGCTCCTGGGAGAGCAGCAGAGCAACATCCATCACTTAACAAGCCCCTCCAGACTGCAATGAATCAACTATCAACAGGTCATTCATAAAGCTGGCCCATGAGGAAGTACAGACCAGCGGATTGGCCGTCTCATCCCCACCCTGAACATAATGACTGCCCCACCACCCACTGCTGATTAGTCATTGCCGTGGCCCCTGAGATAAACCCCTTTACTGTGTGCAGCAGAGATGAATGCACTCACAGACTGATAGGGACTATTTTAAAACACTACATTTAAATTTGTCAAAATAAAAATCTATAAATCTCTTTTTTCATGCATGACAGGGTCAGTTTTTCAGCATCAGGCTCAGCTATAGAAACATGTTGTGCAGTTTGACCTTCTGACATCATTAACTCATAACAGAATTACAGAGAGCATGACCTTTTTACCTATATTTGGTAATGATGACAAACTAGACAAAGAGGCTAAACGGGGCTAATGAGGCTGTTCCTCAGCAGAGCTCAAGTTTTCTCATCTTATGACTAATATTTATTTCATCTCCCTCTCCTCATTTGTTTCCTTTGATCCTTTTCTCAAATGTTTTCCTGATTTCAAATTCTTCTTTGCATCATTATGGTTTCTCTAACTTTACCATCTTGTTGCTTTCTCCTGTGCAACACCCCCCACCCCCCATATCTCTCTACACCTCCTTATCTTTATTTCCATTCTTCCTCCTTATTTTCCTCTTCCCCTCAAGCACTGGTTGACTGAGCTGGAGATCTTTGCCATGATCTTTGCAGCAGCAGTGCATGACTACGAGCACACGGGAACCACAAACAACTTCCACATCCAGACAAGGTAATGGATGGTGAAATCAAAAATGCATGGCACTGACTCAGCCCGATCAATGATTTCATTTTCAGCGAGGGGGCTTTACGTTCACACTGTGATCGCCTGCAGTGCAATAACAGTGGGATGGATTTGCAGATGAGCTGAAAACTAAACTATTTTAGAAAAGGACACTTTTAAAACAAAGTTAAGTCTTTTGGACTTAAGAGCTGAGCAATGGCTTGTAAAATATTTGAATAATGAATTTTTCTGTTAATGTAGCAGGCTTTGGTCTTTTTGGGAGTATCCTTACACCAGTGTTTCCCAACCCTGGTCCTCAGGGCTCACTGTCCTGCATGCTTTCCATGTTGCCCTTTTAAACACCAGCGATTCCTTGCTGCCACACACCTGACTTAAATAAATGAGTGGTTAACAGGCATCTGCAGCACTTGATGTCCTCCTGAGGGGCCAATGTAAATCAGGTGTGCTAAAGCAAAGACATGGAAAACACGTAGGACAGTGTGCACTGAGGACCAGGGTTGGGAAACATTGCCTTACACAAAGTATTGAGCTGCTCATCTTTTACAATCATAAAATGGGTTCATTGTGAGAAATTAGACTGGCAACATAAAGGAAATACATATTTGATTACCTTTTTTTTTACACAGAGCAGTTTCATGCCTCTGTGCCCTACTAGTTGAAATTTTAATTACAACTGTTGTAAACAACCCTGCTGTAGCTAGCGCTAACATTGAGCTAAAGCTAACATGAGCCAACTCACCCATTCTTCCCACTGGACGTGAAAGCTTGGACGTAACATAAAAGGGGTGTTTACCCGCAAGCTCATTCTCCACCGGCAGCTTTTCAGACATGAAATGGGAGTAAAAGCGTTCCACGAAGCTGATCCCATGAAGTCACAAAATCATGGGAGAATCACCGTGTGTGATTTCAGAATTCCAGACAATAACAAGCTAGGAGAAAGACAAATGCATGTATCCAAAAGGTATGTGGTTTTCTTCTGTTCTGTTAACATTGGCTACGGGGGTTTGAACAGGAAATGATGTACGTTTACCTGCATGTGACTTTTATTTAGAACATTTTTGAATATTTTACACTGCTTTTGTGTTTGACTTCTTGTCTGGCCTGATCTAAACTGTGGAGTTTGACATGTTTTGAAACCGTAGCATGTAGAAAATAGACTCGAAACATAATGATAGCATCCCTTTGCTTCTAGGGCGCATCCAGGACGTCACTCTTTGGTGCCGGTGAAAAATAATTAATTCACTATAATGGCGGCTAGTTGCAGCGTAGTACGTTTCTCGGCTGTTTTGCGAGGCTTTCACGTCCAGTGGAAAGAAAGAGTAATAAAATAAACCACAAAGTAAAAGATGGACAAAACATATTATTACTTACAAGTCCAGTAGCAACAAAACCAGGTCACCATCAGTCTGTGATTTTGTAGCCTCCTTTATCTCCCTCAAACTAGTGTAGGCCACGCCGATGTTCACTCTGGTTTTAGCAATTTGCTCCGCCATGATTACAACAGAAAAAACAAAGTTCTTTTTCTTCTTCTTGTGCTTTTTTATTGACAATCAGTGAACAGAAAATGCTGTAACCACTAGCATTACAGTTAACAGCCGTAAAGCAGGTAAAGAGAACATCTGCCCGCTCTACAGGCAGAGGGCTGCGGAGTGGTGTCAAATATGAAACTGATCAAGTTTATAACTCAACAACCACTGAGGTCAATGTTGAAGCTCTAGCTGAAAGTAAAAAAAACTTTCTATTGTTACTTGAAATGGTCTGATTCTGTTTTGTTGTGACAGGTCAGACACAGCTATCCTCTATAATGACCGCTCTGTGTTGGAGAGTCATCACGTCAGCGCAGCTTACCGCCTGCTGCAGGACGACGATGAAATGAACATCCTCTACAACCTCTCCAAGGATGACTGGAGGTCTGTGACACACACACTTGAACACAAAAACAAGATAAGCAACAGAATAAAGGCCAAGTGAGAGAGGATAAAACCAGTTGAGAAGAGAAGAAAGTAGTTGTCAAGCTATAAAACCAGCAGGCAGAACATTCTCATGGTGTGCTCAGAGTAAAGTCATCCCTTCTTTGTCTAGATTAGTTCTGGATAAAAATAAGGAGATGGATCATCGTCAGGGTTTAACTACTTCATACTGAATGAAGCTATTATGTGATGACACAGTCCAGAAGACAGCTGCAATCCCATTTATTGTATAATAACCGGACACTTGTGAAAGCAGCTATTATAAATAGCTTTTATTTTGTTAAGCTTCTTTTGGTACCTGGAAGTTGGACAGCTAATTAAACAGCATATTGCTCATTTGTTTTCGTCTCTCCTTTGTTTTTACCCAGAGAGCTGCGGGCTCTGGTGATCGAGATGGTGCTGGCCACAGACATGTCCTGCCACTTCCAGCAAGTTAAAGCCATGAAAAACTACCTGCAGCAACCTGAAGGGTCAGTTGGCTCCAGATCAATACTGTCCTGTTGAGTAGCACCAAAGGTCATGAACTTTACAGCTTAGGAAAGGAGCAGGGTCTAACTAACAACACTCTTCGTGATAAAAACAGCTTGTGTTTTGTTTTGTTTTGTTTTGTGTGTGTGTGTGTGTGTGTGTGTGTGTGTGTGTGTGTGTGTGTGTGTGTGTGTGTGTGTGTGTGTGTGTGTGTGTGTGTGTTTCACAGTGAATGCCTGGGTCAAGTCCAGATCTAGAATTAATGATAGAGTTGCTGGAAATTTAAACAGTGTGGACATGACACGGGCTCCATATTTTGTCAAGCAGCCACAGAGAGAATGAATACATTATTATTATTATTATTATTATTATTATTATTATTATTATTATTATTATTATTATTATTATTAATTTATTATTTATTTATTTAACCAGTAAGGTCCCAATGAGATTAAAAACCTAATTTTTAAGGGAGTCCTGGCCAATAATTGCAAAAATTACAGTTACAAAATTTTTCTGTAGCACAAATATGTTATGTACAAAATTACAGAAGGCAGTTACAACACAGGGAATCCATCTCAAGAGCTCTCAGTCTGGTTTTAATTGTATCCAATGATATAAACTTGGTTCATTTCCAGTTTTCCTGCAGCCTGTTCCATGCTGAAGGAGCAGAGTGAACGAAAGCCCTTTTGCCCAGTCTGGTGCAAGCAAACTGAGCGTTTCTTACAAAGACACTGTGCTGAGGCATCCATAAACAAAAGGTCTCCAAAATCTAGAATAGACAGAAATGTTGCAGTCACTAGTCTTTTTTTTATTTTTATTTTTTCCTCTCAGAAAAACAGTTTATTTTGAAAAGAGAAACCAAGTCTGAGTTTGAGTTTCTTCACAAGATTTTCTATATGGAGCTTGAAGGAGAGGGAGTCATCGTGCCAAACACCAAGGACTTTGTGTGTGTGGACCACCTCTGAGGGCATACTTAGAGGTCTTTTTTAGAGTTAGAAAGCAACATTAGCTTAGTCATGTCAGCATTGAGGACAAATTTTAAAGTGACAGTGTGTATTTTTCCAGGCGATAGGGGGTAGTATAAACCTAAATTCTTGCAAGCAAGCAGTATTTTTGTGTTGTAGTAAGACCTTACCAAGGGATGCCCATTAGGGCCAAAAAGCCCTGGGTAGTGTAAACTTTAGCAAAATGACAAACACATCAGACTCCCTTTCATCACTGGCAACAAGTGAAGAGGTCAATTTGTAAAACAACAACATTTAAGAATGACAAAAGTTTTTTAACCCTTTGTTACAAATCAGTAAATGCACTTTGTACTCATGGGCTCCTGTGAAAGGAAACATGGCATCTAATATGGCATCACCCAGAGACAGATCCGCTCCCATGTATTTTAGACCTGATTTTTATGGTTATATGTTACAAAGCCTCCAACATTTTTCAACAACTGGGCATCATTTAATTTATTTTCAGCAACTTGTAGCGTAGGCAAATTGATGATTTTTATTTGTTATGACCAGGAAAATGTAATATTCTATGTAAATATAAAATATTAACCTGCGAGGTCTTTATTGTAATTATTCAGAAGATTCTAGGATTTAATTCAGAACATTTAGGTTCTTTACTTTTTCAGTGATCAACCACACTTGGTGTTATTACAAGAAAGAGTCAGGTTTATAAAAGTAAGAATTTCTTTTAGAAACAATTTAAAACATGACTAATTAACTAAGCATTTACTGTGAGTGGATGTAACTAAACATGATGAAGGAACCTATGTGTGAATGCGATGTCAGTCAGAGCTTCCTTATCAAAGTAAGCTGAGTTCTGGTGAAAAGAATTAGGTTTGCTCTAAGCTATAAAGTTCTTATCATCAGAAGATCATCAGACGCAATCTGTCATGTCTACTTCACCCATTTTTGAGAGACCCTCTTGGTGGATCCGAAAGTCGCAGGGGTCGGCTGACCTCTGGCACCGGAGGGCTGTAGAATACCGTGGTACCGACTCTTCAGTCCAGAGATGTCTCGGGTCACAACAGCTGGATGGAACCGTGCGTCTGGTGGACTCTTAAGGAGTCTAAAAATATCAGCTTTGTTTCTGCAGGAACTGTTTGCTCATCAACTTTGCAGGTACAAAAGGGTTTTGACGACGTGTCAAAATCTTTGATGGTTAAAGAGGTTTAGTACAGGTGGTCGGCCTCAAGTGATTCTCTAGAACTGTCGAATCACTCAGGATGATTCAGTTTTAAGGTTTTGATGTTATGATTTGCACAGCCAATCAAAGGCTGACAAGTTTGAGATATGTTACCGAGACAACTCAGAAACACGCCTTGATACAGGATGTTCTGACTGGTTTAAAAGTCTCTATGTGTTTGAGTTTAACTTAACCGTACTTGTTATGGTGTGAATGCAGGTGTGAGGACCTCGTCATCAAAACATGTTGAACACATGTCAGGTTCTAGTAGACAAACATAACATCCATTCAGTGAGCACAGATTAATGAAGCATTTCATTATACTATAATTATTATAAGTAGTAATAAACAAATGTTTATTTAATGATTATCTAGATTATGAGTCTTGGAAGAAGTTCATATTGATTTAGGAAATCATTCTTGATTTTAGCAACTGATTCAAGCTGGAGTTGTTCCTTCTGTGGAGGCATACAGATGGGACCTTGGGAAAGAAAGTTATTGTTTATCTTTCAGACTTGCAGAGTCTGTGAGCTGGTATGAATGCAGGCTCATTTAAAGGGAACACATGCAGTGTTGTGTCTCCTTTCTGACCAGATGTTTGAATAGATGTTGAAAGGTCAGACTGTACCTAAACTGACCATTGCATGCTCAGGTTAAACCGCTGGTAAAAAAAAACCCATCTCTTCCTCCAAATCATGTGGAGAACTACCAACCTATCTCTCTCCTCCCTTTTCTGTCCAAAATCATTGAAAGGGTGGCTTTCAAGCAGATCACAGAATACCTCTCACAAAACTGTCTGCTTGACCCTTACCAATCTGGGTTCAAAAAGGGCCACTCCACTGAAACTGCTCTGTTAGCAGTGACTGAATCCTTAAAAGAAGCTAGAGCGGCTGCCAAATCCTCAGCGCTTATCCTGCTCGGCTAATCGGCTGCATTTGACACTGTCAACCATGGCTTCCTTTTGTCCACACTCTCTAGCATGGGCATCACAGAGAAAGCACATGCCTGGTTTGAACCGTACCTCACAGGACAATCATTCAGTGTATCTTGGCTTGGACAATCGTCTACCGTGCACCATCTTGTCACAAGAGTCCCCCAGGGCTCTGTACTAGGACCTCTTCTCTTTGCCATATACACCACCTCACTGGGTGAGATCATTCGATCACATGGCTTCTCCTACCACTGCTATGCAGACGACACTCAGCTCTATCTGTCATTTCCACCGGACGACCACACTGTCTCTGCACGAATATCAAACTGTCTCTCTGACATATCAAAATGGATGAAATCCCACCATCTCCAGCTCAACCTCTCGAAAACTGAACTACTTGTGATCCTAGCAAAACCATCCATACAGCACAATATCTCAATCCAAAATGACTTCCTATCTCTGGCTCCTTCAAAGGCAGTTCGAAATCTGGTTGTTGTGATTGACATACACGTGACCTTTAAAGATCATGTTGCCTCTGTTGCCCATTCATGCCGCTTTGCACTGTATAACATACGAAAGATCAGACCATACCTAACACAACATGCCACCCAGCTCCTGGTGCAATCTACTGTCATCTCCCGTCTCGATTACTGCAATGGCCTTCTAAATGGTCTTCCAAGCTGTACTATGAGACCTCTTCAAATGGTCCAGAATGCAGCAGTGCATCTGGTCTTCAATCAGCCAAAAAGAGCACACGTCACCCCTCTGTTTATTGAGCTCCACTGGCTACCGCTAGCAGCACGCATCAAATTCAAATTGCTAACACTAGCATACAAAGTCCGAGATGGTACGGCTCCCATCTACCTGAATTCTCTTGCAAAGGCTTATGTCTGGGCCCGGCCGCTCCGGTCATCACAGAATTGTCAGCTAGCAGTGCTTACACCACACTCAGGACAATCCAGACTCTTCTCATGCATCGTTCCACAAATGTGGAATGAGCTACCAAGCACTACCAGAACAGGGGCTTCCTTTTCAATTTTCAAGAATCTCCTGAAGACCCTGCTCTTCAGAGAGCATCTTCTTAACTAGCACCCTCCCTGCACCCGTCCCCCCTCTCTACTGTCCACTCCTTGTTCCCACCTCTCCATGATTGATGTCAAGTTGTTGTTGTTACTGTTGTTGTTACCCTCAAGGGCAACATGCCGATTATCACTTGTAAGTCGCTTTGGACAAAAGTGTCTGCTAAATACATAAACATAAACATTGCTGGACGTTACAAACATTTTGAGGGATATTTCCAGAAATTAATGGTAAAAACTACACATTGTCTCTTTAACTGCAGAAGTGTTTGTTGGACCTCATTAATATTTTTCTGTAAGAATTCAACAGGGGGATGTTCCAAAACAGTAAATGATTGTGTCTTCAGTGTTAAAGTGCAAATTAGCATCAGACACATTTTGTCCTATGACATTAATATACATAATGAACAAGAGGGGTCCCAAAACTGAACCCTGTGGTACTCCTTTATGGACATTAAAAATTTAGAGGACAACCCATCACATTTAACGCATTGAGTTCTGTCTAATTTATCGGGCTTACAGAACATAAGAAACCTCTGTGCCTCTGGGTTTTTATAGGATGTGCAGTTGCTAAACCTCAAAGCTTGTATTTTCCCATTTACAGGTGAAATTTGCACTGACATGGATGCTGAAGTATTATTTCATTTACCAGTTATGAACAATGCTACACATTACGTTCCTAAAGCTAGAAATTATTTTATTAACTCTTTCATCATTTGATTGTGTCTGAAAGCTAATTTGGTCAATTCCTAACAACAATTCAGAATTTAGGTTTTGTCTGTCCTTCAGTAACCTTCAATTG